GTAAATGGGTATTTCCCTTCTTAAAAGTGACAGTATTTTACTAATATGTTATGAATATTTTTTAAAATTTTTTAAATCTCAAACACTATAAACCAATAATCTCATTTCTTGGTATCCATCTTAATAAAACAATCAGAGAAACACAAAGTTTATAAACACATACATGGGAAGGCATAAAACACCAGATGTAAACATATCAAAATATCAAAAGTGGTATTAGATTCTGTTTTTTCCCCCTTAAAGTCCCTATCTATACTTCGCTCTATTTTATGATGCTGTTCCATCATAAAATGTTTTAGGTGGAACCATGTGAAGTTGCCATTTTGTAGGTAAAAAAGGGCCACATATTGATACATTCATATGTTTTAACTTAATATTATTTCATCATCAGGAAAAAAAACTTTCATAAAGAGTCACTTAGGTAAGATTAGGAAAATGTGTCTTTGAAAATATCTTACATAGTTGGAGAACTCAGTGAGAATAAAATAGTGAAGAACAGAATAAATGAATAGAAAAACCACATAATGTTATAGGGTAAGGTACATGTGTATTGCTGCCTACAGAGATTCTTTACATGCTCCCTCAAAAGCCTAAAATCATATGTTCTGTTGATAAAAATCTAACACCAGGTTAGAAACAGCATGGTAAAGGTCTTGATTAGATATCGGTATCCCTCTAGAAAGCTGAAAACTTCCCAGTTGTATTCCCTGACATTTCATACTTAAGATGTAATTAGTCCCTCAAATTGTTGTCAGTTCACCGTAAATATTTCTTCAACTGACAACTTTCTGGTCTAATGTTATGATTAATATAAAACAAAGCATTTTCTTTAAACAAGAGGTAAATAGCCAAGACATAAAACAAATCAGAGTGAAGGATCTTGCAAACTGATAAACGGATTTTTAATGCTTTCTACAGCTTTTTTTAAAATGGTAAGACTATGAGTCTTATTATGAGCAATAAGATTGCCTTTTTCCTTTTCAGTCTTCTTAAACAACAAAAAAAACCACAATTCTAGTTTTAGTTCTCAGTTACTAAGTCCTCACACACTGTCACCCTGCCCAGTCCTCAAATTGTTAAATTTCAGACATAAAAAGCATATCTAATCTATGAAGTAATCATTTTAGTAGGACACTGTCACTGAATTAAGTTTCTTTAAAGTAACAGAAAAAAAAAATAACCTTGGGTCTAAGATCAAAAGACTCCTGGAACACCAATCTTGTGGGTTGGGCTGGTGTTAAGGCACTGATTCAAAATGAGAAAATGAGAAGAAAATAAAGTACCATATATTTTGTGCTTTTTTTTCCATGAATCTCTTCCAACTTTTTTATCTTGTCTTTTCCCCTATAACTTGTGTGAACACACACACACACACATATACACACCTGTCTTCTCTCTCACCTTTAAATACTGTCACACAATTATGGTTCTGGTGACCTCATCCCATTTTTACGAGATGCTAAGTACCTCACTAACATTGCTGAAAGATTAGTTGTCATTAAGAAAGGAAATTAGATAAGACATTTTTAATCTTCTAGAATTTTTGATTATTTGGAAGAATAACTGTAAAACTTATAATAGCTTAGAATTTAATTCTGCAATCACCATATACGTCAAACTTCCTAAGATTACTAAAATTATCTATTAAACTTAAACTAGTTTTGTTTTTAGTATCTTTAGAATAAGAGCTAAGTTTTTATAAAAATGTTCATTTAATTTTTCCTCTAATGCTTTTATTTTTTTCTAATTAAAGAACTCATCTAAAGTTATTCTAGAAGTAAGCATTGCAAAATTCACTGTTTAAGTAAAAAGTAACAGTTCTCAATAAATCCACTGTGCCAAGAGAAAACTAGCAGTAACAATTTGGTTTTTATTTCTCCAGCTATTCTTATAGTATATACAGTTGTTTTTTTCACTCACTTTTTTCCCCTCTGTGAAATATAAATTGGTGTCTCTTCATAATAATATCTAAGGAATCATTTACCTAAGAAGAAACAAGCTTAATAGGTGAGTTATAGAATAACTATAAACAGCATACAATGAGGACATTTAATAGTCTGATAATAGATGTTTGCCTGTTTGATCAGACTGTGCTCAACTATATTATCTACAGAAAGTTTTTGGAAAATGTGTTTACTTGAAGAAAATAGAGATAATGCAAATTTTTAAAAAGATACCACAAATTCAAATCAAGAGAATTAAGGCTTTAGAATCTGGGTGGTTCACATACTGCTTAAATGACATTTATTGTCTAAAGCATCTAAGTATTGGAAACCCACCTAGCCTCCCTTGGGCTGCTGCTCATATAGCAAAGTGAGTGTCCCTCAGCATTTCTTAAATCAGCAGACCCTTGAGACAAAGCACAATAGGCAGGGTTTTAATGAGTGAGATAAGCCTTCCTATCCAAAAGGTGAAAACCAACATCTGTTTTAAAAAACCAATAAACTGCAGTAATGGGTTAAGCAAGAGGCCTAGAGGATTTAGAGATATAGCCCTTGCTTATCAAAATAAAAACCACAACAGAACAATTGTTTCAATCCTATGCTCTGTGTTCTAAAACTCTCCCTAGATTAATTAGCGTGGAGTCTTGCCAAACTCATTAAAGTAGAAACTCTGGACTCCTACCGCATTTCTCCCAAACTGGAGGACTCTCCCAGCAAGGACAATGAGAACTTGGCAGAACCAGAGACTCCTGGGTTTGCATACTGACAGTATTTCTAGGATTTTTTTTTTTAAATTACATCCTAAAAATCAGATTTAGGACCTTTTCACATTTGCTTTTTAAAAACTGAAAAATTGGTGCTTATTTATTTTCCTGTTTACTCCCAAACTCCCGTTTACATTTTATAGCTACTGAACGAACAACGCATGACACTGGGCTCTGTGACCCCTCAGATGGGTAATTTGATAACTCTGATCAGTTTGTCAAGCTCTCCAGAACATGTGGATACTCAGGCATTTTAAGTTATGTTCCAAGGAGGTGGAGAGACCAATTTTTTTTTTTTTTTTTTTTTTTTTTTTTTTTGGCACAGGCTTCTTCCACCCACCCATCTCCCCCCAAATCTCTTGGGCCTGCCAAAGGGCTTGACCTTCCAGTCTCAGCAGCAGCAGAGGGTGAAGTTTGGCGAGAGGAAGGCCCAGCAGATTAAGGCCTGTTCAACAAATATTTGCTCATCCACTGCAGTGGGTGTGAAACAATTTGCTACATGCTGCCTGCCCAAAGTAACACTTAGGGACCTTCAACTTCTTCAGCTAGTGGCTAAGAATTAGACACCTAAAATCAAGGTAAATACAATTAAGTTCAAACCCAAAGAATATTGTAGGAAACCAACTGAATTTACCAAACTCCTAATTTCACATGGAACCAACACAAATCCCCCGAAATAGAATCTGTGGATGATTTCCAAAAAACTTCACAAACTCTTGCCTTGCTGGTCTTAATCCAGTCATTTTAAATTCTAAAACTACCTGACATAAAGCACTGTTTTCCTTAAATGTTACCATACAGACTGTGACCACTCAGCTTAGATTATTAATTTTCCCATGTTTGTCAAGAGCATTTCTGGCTGCCTGAACTCCATATCCTACATCCACCACACCCATGTTCCAACCCTCACCTCAAACTACTGGTACGTCTATTCTTTGCAAATCTGAAAAAACAAAAAGCAGAAGAAAGACAAGAAGCTGTGGGGTGAATCTTTAAATTGTGTGGTCCACACTACTCCACCCGTATCCCCAAGAAAGCCAGGAAACTGGACTTTTGGAGGGGAATCCGAGCATGGGGAGGGAAGTGGTGGCAGAGGGCGTGTGGAGCAGGGTTGGGGGGCTGGGGCCTGGCCTAAACTAATTCCCCAGAGTCTTCTGTTCTATAGAGCATGAATGAGCAAGGACTACAACATGACCTGGTTGCGCTGGCGTAGTTTTCGTTTTTATTTTTTTTCTTCAGTAGTGAAATCACAACTTCTTTTTCAAATCCCCAGAAGATTCCTAGGCTCTGGGCTGCTATTGCCATTGACTAGGGGTTAAGAGTGGCGCTCTCAGCTAAGAGTGCGGAACCTCCGCGGGGTCTGGACACCTAGGAAATCCAGGATTTTGGGGGATGAGCTGATCGCTCTTGGGGGTGGTGGTGGTGCGGGCCGGGGTAGCTAGAGAAGACCCGGGGTAGCGCCCAGACCCGGGCGCACAGGCAGGCAGGCAGGCTCCAGACCCCATAAACGGGCTGATTAGGAAGATTTACAGCTCTCTCAGCCGAGGCTCCTTCCTTTCTCCCACCCTTCTTTTTCCCCTTTTTGCTTAACCACAAGCAGCCAGGGCCAGGGCTGCCCCAGGCACTTGCTGGGAGGCAGCGGCGATGAGCGCCCTAATCTCCAGTCCTGCCGCGGCTGGGCGTGCGGGCTCGCAGAGCCGGGCGGAGATTGGGGGGTGGGGGTGGGGGAGGGGGTGCCAACGTCCCGCGGGCAGGTCGGACAGCGGGGGGCACCGTGGGAAGCCCGAGCCTCCGGGACTCCGAGCCGCGGCTGTCAGACCCCGGGGTGGGGGTGTCCGTAGCAGTCCGGGCGCGCGGGCTCGAGAGAAGGGCGGCTGCACCCGGGCTGTGGCTGGGACGTCGCGGAGAGAGGAGACGGCTCCCCCCGGCGCCCCCAGGGCCCCCCCTCAGGGCCAAGGGGCAAAACGAGCGCTAACGCCAGCCCGGCCCCTGCACCCCACCCGGGAGCCCCGCGTCCCGCACCCCGCGCCCGCGCCGGGGACTGGGCACCTGAGGGGACGGACGTGCTCCCCCACCCGAGGTGCTGGTGGAGGGCCCGCGGCGGCCGGGTTGGGGAGCCCCAGCACCGCGCGGGGGGCTCCGGGTGGGGTGTCGACATCCTCCAACGTCAGGGAAGCTCGGACAGAGCAACGTCCAGGCTGAAGTTGGGGGACGAGCGCAGGAAGGTGAGGGCGAGGCTCGTGGGCCAAATGCACCGCCAAAGTGAGGAAGGGAGAGAGATGCTGGCACTTACCGGGCGGCTCCCTCATGCTGTCCCGCGCCGCCGCCGCCGCTCCGGCCGGCCGGGCACCAGCGCGACCCGCCCGGCTCGCAGCCGCCGCGGCGGAGCATGCCCGGAGCCGCCGCCGCCCGCCCCGCCCATCGCCGGCGGCGCCCCGCCCACCGACCGCCAGCCCCGCCCACCGACCGCCAGCCCCGCCCATCAACCGCCCCGCCCCGCCCACCGACAGCCAGCCCCCGCCCCGCCCACCGACAGCCAGCCCCGCCCGCCAACCGCCCCGCCCCGCCCACCGACCTCCAGCCCCGCCCCGCCCACCGACCTCCAGCCCCGCCCACCGACCGGCCCCGCCCGCCAAGCTGCCTGCAGGCGCCGGCTCTTTTGGCGGGCGGGCAGCGGCCAGGACTTGGGCCTCTGCAGGCGGTGCTGGATTGTACGCGCTGAAGCTGGTAACCCTTCCTTCTCTTTTCTGTCACGTAGGTTTGGGAGGCTCCAACCCTTAAGAATGTCCACGCACACAAACATGCAGATAAAAGCAAAACAAAAATACACACAGGCACACACACGGACATAAATACACTCATATGTAGTCACACACAAACTCCCACCCATACACACACTTATGTACACAGGGATATGTACACACACAACTATACATTCATGCATACACACATATTTTGATGGCATGAAGAACAGAAAGCAGTGACAGTGACAACAGGTTAGTGCTTGGAATTTTCGTCTTTGAAATAGATATCCAATATCGAAGTCTCTTGTAACAGATTAGGAAACAGTCGTAGGAGGTCAATGCACAGTTCAGGACAGAGTGAACATTTACTGACTCTCAACCCACTCCATGTTTCTTTTTTGGCTGTGACTAGTCTCTTGCCAGGTCTGCTCTGAGGCACAGGTCCTGGAACTTTCGAGGGCAAAGAAAGACATGAAATGTTCAACCTTGTTGATGAGCTGGTGAGAGGGTATTGGGGCAGTTGAGTTCACAGAGGGAAAAATGGATGGCAGAGCAGACTGGTGTCCTTATGGAAGAAATTTTAGAAAACCATTTAGCCACACCATGCATTAAGACTGTGCTTGTCATATCACCAGTAATGGCCTACGTTCTTGGGCCTTGTCCATCTGAGCTGCTTATGTGCATTATTGTCTTTAAATACTCACCAATATAAGTTCTGTGATGTGGGTGCCATTGGAGACTGGGGTGCAGGAAGGCACAGGAAGCAAGTTGCAGAAATTTCCCCAAGACTCTGCTCTAAACCCTAACCATGAGGAGTATACAGTCTAAAAGAGCAAAGAAGCCCAACATACTTGTACTGGAAAAAGAAAACAATATAATCACATGCACTGTGGTGCATTATCAGGGCATCTGAGGAAACCAGATGGCAGAGATGCAAGAGGATGTCATGATCAGGGGTTCAATCATCAGATGACTTGGGTCCTGGTCTTGGGTGCTTCTGCCACTTTCTATGTGTGCATTACTTCTATTCACTTCAATTTCTGTTAATTTCAATTTCTGTTCACTTCAATTTCCTCACTAACCAAATGCGGGTAAGTTATGAGTGTTAAATGAGATGATGCCTTCTGAGCATTCAACATAGTACTGGCAGCTAGGAAGAACACAGAAAATGTCAGTTCCTATTACTAAAACTTGTACTAATAGGGCTCTATGTTCTGGAATCACCAGGAAAAACTTTGTGGGGAGTCTCTAAAGGGAAGATGGTTGTGGTTAGGCAGGGGCAAAGGGTATTATCTCCAGGTTGGGGGAATAGGATAGAAAAAAAAGGAAAAGGAAATGAAATGGAGAGGCTTTTCTGGGAAATCAGAGTTATTAGCAGTGATGGCATTACTTCTTGTCGTAAAAGCATTTTTCAGGGATAAATTGCTTCAATGACTTACAATTCCCATTTCTCCTCAATTTGTCAACTCAATGAAATAACTTTTTGTTGCTGTGAAACACTCATATGTGCCCAGCATAATGCAGACATATATGGAGCCAAATGCTTCCATAAGATCACTTATCAGTCAGCAAATTGAGAGTAGAACATGTTCCCCATTGAATGATGTCAGATTGTTGAGTTTCTGGGTCAACCCACAGAAGTATTATAATGTAGCTGAAATGCCATATAGTTGCAATAGAAAGATATTCAGGCAGTGCTGGGTTTAACTAAACCAATGCAAATAAAGTTTAATAAGAAATTATGTTATAGCAGGAAGGTTGGTAAAAGCAGATTTAATTAGAAGATAACAACAAGATTGAGATACTGGAGATTCTGAAGATGACTTCACAATTTCAAAGATTTGTGGGTGTTTTGACAGTGGCTTTTATCATGATGACCTCATTTCAAAATGTTTGGCTTTTCTCTTTCTTCAACACTGATATATATTACTTGCCCTGTTATAATGCTTTCCAGCCGTGACTATAGTCATTTCAAATAAACAAGCAGAATGAAAAAAAAAAAAATTAGGCTGGAAGTTAGTAGGGAGTTGGGGAACGAGAAGAAGATGAAAGATATTTTGAAGAGTTGGGAATAGAATTGCAAAGAAGAAGGAGTGTAACATTAAAAAAAAAAATACATGAGCTGGTGATGGTCTGATTTATAATGTAAGAAAGCAAAGATGATGGGGGGGGGGTGCAGCTTTCCCAGACGAAGATAACAGTTGATGTGGAAAATCCATGGGGACAATTTCCCATCCTGGTCACCTGTACATCAACATAATTGTTATAAACATGAGATGTGAGAAACCAGCATATAGACAAATGGATAGATAAAGAGACATTCTGATGTACTGTATATACACACACACACACACACACACACACACATATTTGCTATTATGTTTTTAGGAAAGGACACTTCTTCATCTGTCAGCTGTCTGTAACTCAAGAAGCACCTGCGCTAGTTTGTTTTGACCACAGAAATATATTCCTTCTCCTAATCACCACCCACTTCCACTTTTATACAACTTTAGCCTCTTTCTCCCTCCTGCTTGATTTTGGGACACAAATGTCCCTGCCTTTCTCTGAGTCCTGGAGAAAGGATTTCGCAGACTCAGGAAGGAACATGGATTATTGAGTCATCAGGGCAGATGTTCAGTGACCAGAGAAAGAATGCTTAACAATCTTAAAAAAAAAAAAGAAAGAAAGAAAAAACTCTTGTTTCTTTAACGTGCTTTCTCACTAAGGACCTAAGCATAACCCTCCTCCCTCTTTACATTAGGATTCTTCTGTGATGACCTACTGTTAGGCTAAACTTGGATAGACTTTGATGTTTTCCTTAGTCTGTAAAAATACTACCAGTTATCTCTCTCTCTTTTTTAAAGACTAATGTTCTTGATAAAACCTTGAATCCTTCTTGTTGACTTGTTCTAGAAATCAGACAGTAGTGGTTATACAATTAGAAAGGGTTTTATATCAACAGGTTTGTTTTTAGATATTGACATGCTTTATTATTAATTTAGAAGCTAAACTGCATAATTTTTTATATTTATATATATTTCATTACATCATTGTTCATTTTTGTACAATGTTTGCTTTTTCTTCTCAGGTGTAGTCCCCGTAAAAATCGGTTCACGGGTAAATTGTAGTGGAAATTTTACGGGAATGCATTATTGTTTTTAATCATGAACTATGTTTCTTGAGACATACTCCATCAACCACCTACTACATGATAGGCAGGTGGGGGGAGGGCGGGTCCTGTGACTAAAAGCCAGATTCCTAGGCTTCCTTAACAGCCAACAAAATCAGAATTTCTAATTCATACAGTTGAGGCCCTGAAATTTGTACTTTAAATAAATACCCACATGATTCTTAGATACAGTAAAGTTTGAGAAGCAGAGCATGAGAAATAGGAATAGTTTATTAAGAGCCTAACAGAATGATTGGCACATAAAAATAAACACTGAAATAAAACAGTAGCCATTGACATCATTGTCTGATGATGAAGAATAGTATAACAATGTCCCTCAGGAATAAAGTACAGTAGGTGGCCAGTAATTATTGACTTAGAGTATTTGACACTAACCCAAACAGAAAATTTACAATCCTGAGAATTATGAAAAGAACAACAAACATTTTTCATTCACATACTTTCAGTTTAAAGAAGATAAGTCTACAGACTTATTAATATTATTCCATGAGAAGAATCCTTTTTAATTATTTGCTATCTCTATAAACGCCTTCCTTCCGAAGGTGACACATTAATGGAAAATAGCCTCTCAACCTCCCTCCCAAGCCCTGTCACCACTCACCCAAGCAAACAGCTGCTCTTTGCTAGTGGTTGACAGAATATCCCAAGCATCCCAAGCAGCTACAACCCTTCTCCAAGTTCATAAGGAAAATTCTGTTTTACTGTCCTCTAGAAAATGACAGTGGCTGGCTGGGATCTCACTGACATAAAGGACATGCAGACATGGCTTAAAGAAGGCAGTGGGGTTGCCTGCACTAGGGTGACCCAGACATGAGCATGCCTGGGCTGCCTCTCTGGCCATCATGCATCAGCTAATCAAGAATCAACCAAAATTGGGCCTCCCCGGTGGCGCAGCGGTTGAGCGCTGGGTTGCGAAACTGCGCGCGGCCTCTGCGGCGCCGGTTCAATCGGTGCCCCGGCCACCGGAGGAGGGTCCACATGGCGCGCAGACCTCTCCTGCTGCTCCCCTCAGCAGTGTACTTCGCTTCTGCCTGCTCTGCTCCCCGCTCTGGCTCTGGTGAATTCTCTACCCTCCTGCGCTCTGACTGTGCCCAGTGCATGTATAAACAAACAAACAAACAAACCAGCAAACAAATAATAATGCCTCTATAAAAAGAATCAACCAAAATTAATGCTGGAATTTCTTTAACCCTGCATACCTTTTAATTTTTAAAGTGGACAATATGTAAATCCCTATGAACCAGGTTGATTACCAACATTAATTGCCAACAGAGTAAAAAAGTTCTCATGTGGGGAAAGAATGACAGATCAGGTTTTTACTCAGTCAGTGATGGCTAGCAACGTGCACATGGAAAAACATGGTAGTGGAGAGAGGTAAGAACGGTTTATCAATATAGTCAAAGCACTCAGTGAGGCTTTGCCTTGTGTTCTTTCACGTATATGAAGGTAGCATTTGTTAACAGGGTTGTATAATTTTGAAGCAGTGGTTCTACTTGAATATTGAGGAGAACGTAAATCTCCACAAAAAAAAATCTTTCCATATCATTACTCGTTTGCCTCTTTAAAACCCCCATAGCATTTTGATTAAGCTGCTAGTATAGCATTTGTCATGGTATACTTTGGATTTGCTCTATCAGCATACATACTTAGTTCAGCTACTAGATTCTGAGTTCCTGGTTGAAGGGACTATTCATCGCTATCCTAACTCTTTCTCGGGTTCTACATTTGTCTACTTAGCACCTATTTATTACAGGGCCAAACTAAAGAGCACAGTTGTTTACAACATCCCTGCAAACCAGAACACATACTATGAAAAACTACTTCATCTAACTCACTCGCCAAGTCAATATTTTCCCTGCCCTATATTGATGCAAACAACTAGGATAGTCTCTATGCCCCAACGCCACCAGGTTATTTACACCGTCAGTCCTGACTATCTCCCTTGTCTTATCTTGTCTTTCCTACAAAGAGCCCAATGAAGTCTGTGGTCTCTGCTCCCCGTGCTTCATTCTTGCCTCCTAACGCACACTGGGTCCTCCGTATGGCCCTGATATGCTGTTTCTGTCATAGCCCCCCTCCACCCTCCTATGATAATCTAGTCAGTTTTGCCCAGTGGGTGCTGATAAAGTCAACAGGACTCCCCATTTCTGCATATGCCCTCACCACAGCCTCTACTCCCAAGTGGGAAGCAGAGGCACACATCCCTTGTAAGAGGATGAATTGAGTGCAGTTTTCAAGTCAGCAGGGAACTGCATGTACTTTCTAGTTTCTCAAACTACTGCATATATTAATTCTTTGTCTAAATATTTTTACAGTCTTCCCTATAGTTCTTGATGCCTGGAATGTGTATTAGAACTTTTGCTGAAACCACCAAATACCTGAAGTTTACCATAACTAACTAGTCACAGATGTAGTATTAAATCCACTCCTACTTTTTCTTTCTCTATATAGCCTACGCTGGGGCCAATATTATACATTCTTGGAACAGATGCTATTCATAAACAAAACTAATATCTTTTCCAGAGAACACTGCTTTATTTGTGATCAGGGGCCACCTGTTTATCAGCAGGAAAATCTAAATAAGAGTTATAATGGATTATATATATTGAAGGATCTATTTAAATGTAGAACATTTCCTAGTTAGTCTTTGCTGCTACCTCACAATAAATTGTCCCAATACTATTATTGTTTTTACTTTCCCCAGATTTCCTAGTGAGCTATAGTCGGAAAGCAGGGCACTAGCACATAAGGAATGGAAATGGGAACAGACTGAGGAATTTAAGAACAAAATATACTAATATTGAATCCATTGCAGGAAGGCAAAGCTGATTTTCATCCATTTGATGTAAGTCTTCAGAATATTGATAGCTATGTTTAACTTCCGAACTAGTTTTAATTATATTTAAGAGTTAAAAAAAAAAAAGGTAGATTTTCTTAGAGGTTGATTTGAAACACTTTTATAAAAGAAGACAATAAGGAATCCCACAGACACTTACTGCTTTGGGAAATCAAAATACTTTCTTCTTCCTCATAAGGTGGGTGACCCAAAGCTTGTAACATAAGAACTTAGCTGGCCTTTAAATTAAAGTCCATGAAAAATCGCAGTTAACTCCCACTGATACTCAGTAAAGTATATTTCTTTAGTGTTTCTATTTTCCAGGTTGCATGCTATATTTTGTGTTTTGTGCTATAGAGGACATCAATTTTACTAATATCTCAAAGCAAATGCATGTCTTCTGCAGCCTTCCTATATGCCCAAAGGCCTTAAAGTTTCTTAATAGCAAGATACCTGCTTGCAATTGCCATTCACAGTATAAGTCATCAAAACTAGAGATTTCATAGTCTGAATCGATCAAGGTATGAATTGGAAAATTTAAGGGTCATTTGCAAAAAAAAAAAATTAATAGCTATCACTAAGAACCTAGAGTTAGGACTCAGAAATCTGCGTTTTAAACAAGTTTCTGATTCTAATGAGCAATACAGTTTGAGCCCCAGCTTGTGACTTATCCTAATATTAACTTGCTACTGACAGGTCTTCATAATAACTCTTCCCTTGCTCTGTAGCTCTCATTAACTACAAAGCAATTGACTACCCCATTTGGGGAGCTAGATGCATTCACAGTAAGGTGCTTCTCAATTCCCCTGCTTGTCAGGAGGTAACATACCCTGAAGGAAGAATCTTGAAGGCTCTGGAGTCAGAAAGGTTTGGGTTGGATTTGCATGCTGCCATTTATTAATTGCACATCTTTAGGCAAATCACTTCCCTTCTCTGAATCTCAGTTTTTTTATATGATAACAAATCATTCTGGTTATGAGGATTAAATGAGATATCTTGTGGAAGCAATCAGTGCAAAGTCAATACTCCATAAATGTTAATTGTTCTTGTGCTTCATCCTTCCTGGGGTTCATGTAAGAACGAATGAGAGAAATACAAAGCACTTGGTACATTACAGCACTCTGCAAACAAGGACTATTAATCTCTTCACTTTCTGCGAACTAAATATAACTTTTAAGCACAGATATCTTGTTGAGAACTAGCGAGGAAATTACTTCTATATTTATTTGCTTTGTAGGAAAAAATTTACAGAAAAGTAAACGATGAACAAATTTTGGGAAGGACTTTTCCACTTAGCCTTTTAATTAGAAAGCAAGATTGTGGTTTCCTTCCATCCATTCTTTTTGCTTCCCAGACAAGAGCATGGTATTGCAAAGAGCATGTATGTTTTCAGGTTAAAACAGTGTCAGAGCTCCTCAAAGCTACTGAAGTACCACAGAGTTTAGTTCAGATCCCCTGAAAGGTAGGATATTTAGAGCTACCTCCATTTTACTAGGGAATCCACATGTTACAAGATTCCAAGAGAACTCTAATGAGAGCATACTTATCTGATGTGAAATGTGAAGTCTTAGAGCTTAATCTGAACATATGGTTCTCTGTGTGTGTGTGTGTGTGTGTGTGTGTGTGTGTGTGTGTGTGAGTGAGAGAGAGAGAGAGAGAGAGAATTTGTGCCAAAAGAAGGCAATAAAAGAAGTAAGTTTCAGGATTTACAAGAGTAGTTTTGGTCCAATGACAAGAGGATGAATAAATGTGTTGGAAATCTTGACAAAAATACTATGGACAAAATAGCTATCTGACACTAAATCAAGATATATCTTTGGGGCCTCACTGGTGGCGCAGTGGTTGAGTGCTGGGTTGCGAAGTTGCCCGCAGCCTCTGCAGTGCCGGTTCGATCCCCGACTGCTCCCCGGCCACCAGAGGAGGGTCCCATATGGCACGCAGACCTCTCCTGTCTCCCGCTGCTCCCCTCAGCAGTTTACTTTGGTCCTTCTGCCTGTTCTGTTCCCCGCTCTGGCTCTGGTGAATTCTCTCACCCTCCCATGCCTCTGACTGTACGCAGTGCTTGTATAAATAAATAAATAAATCTTTAAAAAAAAAAAAAAAAGATATATCTTTGAATCATGCATAAATTTGCTGACTCTTCCTTTGGATATTAATACATATTGTACCTGTGGCTAGAACATCACTTTCTCCCTTTTCTTCCAAATGTAATGGGAGGGTGCCAAGCAGGCAGCTGGCCAAGGTGAAAGTAATGTGACCCTGTTATAAACTCCCTGAAAGTTTCAGTGATTTCCACTTCAAGTACTCTTTATGTACCTTCAGCCAAATTCTCTGATCTATTTCACAAAGGCCAACCTGGCTATGTGGGCCCGGTTTCCATGAGTTCCCCGGGCTGATACTATCTCCCCTCTAACACAGGTGGGTCGTAGAAAGGGTAGTGCTGATGCACACATCTGTGCATCACCCAACACACAACAGCAAGGATTTCCAGCTAAGACAACAGGATCTTCAGCTGTGCTCACTCCAGCTGCCAGCCCTCCTGCAAGGAGACTTGTTGGAGCTGGGCTGTTCAAGGCACGCACAACCAGAATCCACAGAGCAGGGCTGTGATATACGAAGGTCACGGAGTATGTGTGAACTATGGCATGTCCACAACATGTGATGCTTTCAGACACAAAAAGAAATACATGCTTATTCTTATAAGATAGGACCCCTTCTTCCCATTTTCCATGTCAGACTACTTTTAAAGGTTTTAATTATTTTGCTTAAGTTGTAACTGCACAAACTAGAAATACATACATACATATGTGTGTATAATATATATTATACATATTAATACATATATATACATATATACATATATGATGTATATACATATACACATGTATATATACACACACATGCATATATACTTCTAGGAACCGCTTATTCTTCCATGGGGATAAAAGCCTTGGAATCTAGAATGGAATAGGTCAGGGATCATCTTAATCTGTGAAGGGCATAAATGTGATTGGGTAATTGAGGGTACAAAGCAATCACCTTTTCCCTCTGCTACCATGAAAAATTCCATGCAAAAATACTCTGTTATACATAGCCTGCAATATGTTTTTAGTAGGATTCTTTAGTGACAACATGCTCTTCTCGTTAAAACTGTTAGTCTGGTGACATTTCACACAGCTCTATCCCAGTGCTGTGGAATGGCCTAATTGATTTAACATCCTCATCAGAACCAATGACTGTTATATAATAAGTGAGCCAATGGCCAGTTTAGAAGATACAGTGCCCAAGGTTTGTTCTGACTTTGTTGGCTCTTAAGCAAAGCTGTACTCTGAACCCACCCTAGAAACGTTCGTTAGGATTAAAATTCTGGCATAAAATAAGGCCAATGTCATGTCAGAAATGCCAAACACCAAACACCAGCAGATGCCAACTTGTCAAAATCATGCCATCAGATTATGTAGGAGCACAGTGGAAAAAATCTGAAGTGAGCAAGAAGGGGTAAAATATACTTGAAATTGGGGCAGTTTGTTTTTGTTTTACTAATAGCCACTGAAGGGAGAAGAAGTTCCTTGGAAGAATTAGGGTTCAAAAGCAAAGGAACCAGGGGGCGGAGCAACATGGCGGCGAGGAGACGCTGCGAGTAAGATCTCCCATTAAAAAAAGTTAATAGGGAGGAAAAGCGGCAGGTCCCAGTGAGAACTGGGACACGGAAGATAAACGGACGACTCCAGCAAACTGCCCGAAGAAGAAAGTGGCCATAAAAGAGGACGAGAAGGGAGGGAAGCGCAGAACCCTGCTCCCCTCCCCCGCCCACAGAGGCGGCACTCTCCGCCCGGCAGAGAGGAGGAAACAACAAACCAAAACGGCCAACAAGAAAAACGGACACAGCAAGCGGGACTGTGAGTGGAAAGGAACTATTGCAGCCACCACACCCCGTGAACGGGAGCTGAGGCGAACCCTGCAGGATCCGCCGCGGAGGTGAGCTCCAGGCGCCATTAAAGAGAGCCCCCCCAGGAGGAGACCAGCACCAGCACACAGCCCCGGCCGCCCGGTAAGCTTGCGCGGAAAGTGGCGCGGATCCAGACCGGATCGCAGCTGCCCAGGTCCCCGCGCCTGCGACCTAGGCTTGCGGGGAGACAGCGGAGGCCCTCCCTGAGTGAGCAGGAACAAGGCGCCCAGGCAGGGGAGCGGGATTCAAAAGGCGCCATTCCCGCGCCACTGATCTGGGCTACAGCCCGCGTCCTGGAACTGAGGGCTTTGGAACTGAGACCCGGGGCACGAAATTAGGGGCGAGGGTTCCCCACGACGGTGGGGCACAAGGCAGACACAGCACCCCAAAGCCGTTGAGGTGTACCCTACGATCCCCGCTCTGCTCCCTGTCCCACGGGGTGGAAAATCAGCTCCCCAAGGGCTCTAGGAGAGATCTCTGGCGCCACCTAGCGACTTGACCCCAGCACAGGCTACTGAAGGAGCTAGTGGCCAGCTGGGGAGTTAGCCCACACCTGCTCCTTCCGAACAAGTAGTCTGAGCCCACAGGGAGAGCGAGCACCCACAGCCGGGCAGACCAGGCGCGCAGAAGAGTGTGCCTGAGACCAGACGCGCAGGGAGTGTGTCCCACATCACCATTTTAGAACAGGGACATTTCTTCAGTAAAGACTACCTGCAGAAGGCTTCCTCAGGAGCCAGAGGTGAGCGGGGGAAGTTCGCCCACGCCAGACCCCCTCTGGCCTGCAGTCCAAGCCCAGAGGGGAGCAGGACCCACCGCCGGGGCAGACCAGGCGCACAGGGGAGTGTGTCCCCACATCGGCATTTTAGAACAGGGACCTTTCTCCATTAAAGGCTGCTTGAAAACTGACAGATGACTCCTGGAAGAACCAGAGGGGAACAGAGAAGCCCACCCAAGATGCCGGCCAGTCCCAACAACACAGTGTCCCAACGCATACGGCAAATTAGAAAACAGACAGTAGGGAGGAGAAGAACCACACGCAACCTAGCAACTCTCCAGAGAA